CACAAATGTAAAATACAACACTTTATCGTTTTTACAAAATTTGAAAGGCATTGAAAGATTGCAGAAACATCTGCATCAGAAAATACATTATTCACAGTGTTTGTTTTTATGGCGTATTATGTAACCTCCCGGGTCTCCCCCATGAGTTCAGGAAAAAAGCTTGATATGTCACAGATTAAGTGGATTGTCATGAACAGCATTAACACTTAAAGATTATGATTCCTCCAATGGGATGGACCCAGATCTTCGACGTATTTCGCTATATGCTTTTTCAAGAAGGGAACGAGGTACTCTGATTTTTAGATGCATAAACCATACATTTGGACAACACCGGGCACACGCACCATCACCGCAGCCCAAAGGGGACAAGTGAAAGGTAGAACCGTCCCAAACAACAAAAGAGTGGACAAAATCTGAAAGATATTGTCATGGGGAATAGGTTTAAACTGACCACAGAAACTGGCCCTCCAAACTGGATTTGTATCCACAATCACACTCCATATCTCCTTGCAGTAGCATCACCACCTTCACAACATCACCCACCACAGAATATTACAATTTGCATATGAATTGATTTTGTAATGCTTTTTGGTACCAGTAGATTCAAAATTCTGACCCACCTTAATAAAATTACAGCTACATTTTTTTTTTTTGCCTTCACACTTACAGTATAAGTATCTTTTGTAATTTAACTAAGAAAGATCCATCTGTCCAGGCTTATCTTGGAACAAACTGGGAGACCATGTGCTACCCAGAGCGGGTGCTCTTCTATGCACAAATCTGCACAAATTCAGCAGTACATTATAGTGCAGGGCTCAAAATTTCCACTCGCCTGCTCGCATTTTGAGAGTAAAAATAAGGTGAGGGCGAGTGGAAATTTGGGTCTCCGAGTACCGGCTCGCGGCCCAACCCCAGCCCGCGAGCCGGTACTATGTGGCCCGCAGCCAGCTGACATGTCAGGCACACGGTCGCAGACCGCGTACCTGACTTGCGGGAGAAGCTCCACGGTCTGCATCTGTGTTGGATGCAGACCGCAGAGCAGCTCCTGTCAGCTCTGGCTTCCTTCGGCCGGAGCTCTGACAGTTCTGAGATCCCATTAAAGAATGTATGTGAGCAGGATCGATGCCTGGTTATCTGGGGGTGATAGTGAGGTCTGCTGGGGTGATAGTGAGGTCTGCTGCAGACCTCTCTCAGTGGTGTATTATTTTTTGTGTGCGGGGGGAATTTTATTATTATATTTGTGCAGGGCGGGGGGAGGTGTAACGTTGTTGAGCAGTGTATTATTGTGCTTTAAGCTGCCCATACACCTTACAGCCATGGCACGACTTTCGTTATGCGATGGTTGTGAGGTCATTAAAATCTCGTACGATCTGCCCATCTTGGACAGGCAGATCGTACTTGCGATCATCGCAAGCTCTCCCCGCTGAGGGGAGGGTAAGAGGGTAAGAGTTATGTGGGGCAACTGGTGGCTAGTGACTCTTAAGGCCTAGCTAGTAGCTCAGGACTTGAAATTTTGAGCCCTGTTATAGTGTATAGGATTATTATACAATATTGTTAAATTGCTTTTAATTATATTCACTAAATTCTCATGTTTCCAACTATATGTTGTTGAAAGTAGATATTAGATATTTTATCTCCACTGTCTCCTTAATTGGATATTATCTAGATTTAGCACCTACTACATAATGTGTCCTGTTCAACATCTATTGGGGGTAACCCCATTTTCTAAGTCTATCCACAGTGCATATATTCTAAGCGAAAAGTCAACATAACAATTGCGTCAGATCCAAATCAACTCCCCATCAGGATTAGCCCTAAAGGAGAACTATGTGGTGACCTTTTTTCCCAAAGTTTATTTGGGAGAATGTATACAAACGTCCTCCCGTGACCCAAAACTCAGTATATAGCAGGCTATTGCCCACTATATGCTGAGAGCGCCGCAGCTGGGACGGATCTTGACAATACTGTTGAGATCTTCCCCACTGCTGATAGGCAGAGCCTGTTGTCAATCTAGAGGCAGAGCCAGCAATATTCACCCCCTCCCCATCCGTTCCTCCAGTCAGCACTGGAGGATCGGAGAGGGGGGAATCCCTGTGGGGAGCGGTCGCTGACAGTCACCGCTCTCTGCAGGGAGATGGATCGGGAAGTGAGCGAGCAATGGTTTTTCACTCCTCGATCAATAGAGCCAACGTGTGACCGTTTCAGTGTTACACGTCGGCTCTAACTATGGGGATGAGTGTAATTCACTCACCCCATTGTGCTCCTTTAATACAACATCTAGAATGGTAACTCTCTGCTCTCAAAAATGTGTTACCAGCTGTAATTTTTTTAAATGACTTGTTGAAGATTACACCTTTCTCAACATTTTCAATCAATATAAGATCCAGGAAATCAATTGTCTTATTTGTACATTACATAACAGTATTTGGTAACATAGGACAGCCCAACATAACCCCTCATTCATTCTTTTAGTAAGATAATTTTCTTCTAGCAACTTTCTTCAGTAGCTGCAGAGTGTCAGGGGTTTCTGTTGGCAGCTTTACATAGTATCTAATCCTTGGCATAGCCTTGGATTAGCAATAGTCATAGTACCTAGACCCCAGCACTGGACTCTGCTTGAGGCTTTCCCGTAGGCATGTGGTACAATGCGATGAGGTAGAGTGTATTATTTTATGTGTGGGGGGGTTAATAAGGGGGCAGTATATTATTTTATGTGTGTGGGGGGGCTTATAACGGGGGGGTGTATTATTTTTTGTGTGCGGGGGGAATTTTATTATTATATTTGTGCAGGGCGGGGGGAGGTGTAACGTTGTTGAGCAGTGTATTATTGTGCTTTAAGCTGCCCATACACCTTACAGCCATGGCACGACTTTCGTTATGCGATGGTTGTGAGGTCATTAAAATCTCGTACGATCTGCCCATCTTGGACAGGCAGATCGTACTTGCGATCATCGCAAGCTCTCCCCGCTGAGGGGAGGGTAAGAGGGTAAGAGTTATGTGGGGCAACTGGTGGCTAGTGACTCTTAAGGCCTAGCTAGTAGCTCAGGACTTGAAATTTTGAGCCCTGTTATAGTGTATAGGATTATTATACAATATTGTTAAATTGCTTTTAATTATATTCACTAAATTCTCATGTTTCCAACTATATGTTGTTGAAAGTAGATATTAGATATTTTATCTCCACTGTCTCCTTAATTGGATATTATCTAGATTTAGCACCTACTACATAATGTGTCCTGTTCAACATCTATTGGGGGTAACCCCATTTTCTAAGTCTATCCACAGTGCATATATTCTAAGCGAAAAGTCAACATAACAATTGCGTCAGATCCAAATCAACTCCCCATCAGGATTAGCCCTAAAGGAGAACTATGTGGTGACCTTTTTTCCCAAAGTTTATTTGGGAGAATGTATACAAACGTCCTCCCGTGACCCAAAACTCAGTATATAGCAGGCTATTGCCCACTATATGCTGAGAGCGCCGCAGCTGGGACGGATCTTGACAATACTGTTGAGATCTTCCCCACTGCTGATAGGCAGAGCCTGTTGTCAATCTAGAGGCAGAGCCAGCAATATTCACCCCCTCCCCATCCGTTCCTCCAGTCAGCACTGGAGGATCGGAGAGGGGGGAATCCCTGTGGGGAGCGGTCGCTGACAGTCACCGCTCTCTGCAGGGAGATGGATCGGGAAGTGAGCGAGCAATGGTTTTTCACTCCTCGATCAATAGAGCCAACGTGTGACCGTTTCAGTGTTACACGTCGGCTCTAACTATGGGGATGAGTGTAATTCACTCACCCCATTGTGCTCCTTTAATACAACATCTAGAATGGTAACTCTCTGCTCTCAAAAATGTGTTACCAGCTGTAATTTTTTTAAATGACTTGTTGAAGATTACACCTTTCTCAACATTTTCAATCAATATAAGATCCAGGAAATCAATTGTCTTATTTGTACATTACATAACAGTATTTGGTAACATAGGACAGCCCAACATAACCCCTCATTCATTCTTTTAGTAAGATAATTTTCTTCTAGCAACTTTCTTCAGTAGCTGCAGAGTGTCAGGGGTTTCTGTTGGCAGCTTTACATAGTATCTAATCCTTGGCATAGCCTTGGATTAGCAATAGTCATAGTACCTAGACCCCAGCACTGGACTCTGCTTGAGGCTTTCCCGTAGGCATGTGGTACAATGCGATGAGGCAGCCGTACATGTGAACTACCTGTCTGTCCCTGAAGACTCCTTAGAGGGTATGCCCACTGGGTTGCTCCCTCCCTGCCCTCACTCCAAGCCGTAACTGCTCCTGCCACTGATAGGGGAGGGGGCATCTGCTGGTCTTTGCGGCCACCTGGTTCTCAGAGTCCTGACTCCAGAATTTGGTGTCTAAGGGCTACAACTAGAATTTCAGTCACTGTGCCCACCCCATGTTGTCAAACTTGACTGGTGGACCTTCACGCTACTGCTCTGCCAGAAAAGGAAAAGTTTTAAGGGTTCTCTTCAAACCTGTTCACGGTCCCCAAGGCCAAGGGAGTCATATACCCCTTTCTAGACCTGAAGGTTCCCAACACCTTTTCCTGAAATTCCCCATGGAATGTGCCAGGTTAGTCATTACTTCCCTTCATCCCAGAGATTTTCTTGGATCGGTATACATAAAGGATGCCTGTTTACATATCCGCATTTTCCTGCTCCATCAACACTTTCTGGGCATTCCCATAGTGGGTTATCTAGACCAGGGCTTCTTAAACTTTTTCCACTCGTGACCCTTTTTCGCCCGAAACTTTTTTACTTGACCTCGGATATATAAAACAGTTATACAAATCAAACATTTACTGATAATAAATCATAAAGAAATGTAATTTAAAACTATCCTTTGGTATACATATAATTTTACCATTTATTAAAGATGAATGCAAATTTGCATACTAATGAGATGGATGTGCTTGTTTATTTTTACATAAAGAATTCAATCTTCGCAGAATATTTGTTATTGCAGGACGTAGAGCATGTTCAACGTTTTTCAGAGTTGATCGATATTTTGATTTTTAAAACCGTCAATACTGAGAACACTTCACATAAATACAAAATGGTCATTTCAGAAATGGTTGGAAATTCTGTCCTAATCCCAAGCCAAAATTAATTTTAACAATTTTTGTTGTTGTTGAGGACAGTCACATTTTAAACCTATGTCGCTTGATAACTCAGCAAATTCTTCTTGAACATTTAATGGCAGATGACTGACGTTTTTGATTGTAACGGAGTATGGTTTATCAACCCAACTTAGTTTTTCCGAATCAAACTTTGAAGAGAAGTATTTCTGAAACTATGTCTCCAGGCACTTTAGATGATGAATTCTAACTCTTAAACTGGCCACACACCTTACAACCACAAAAGTCTTGCGATGGTTGTAAGGCCATTAAAAAAACGTACGATCTGCCCATCTTGGACAGGCAGATCGTACTTGCGATAATACAGGGGCGGGCTTCCGATGACAGCAATGCTGAACGGGCAGTGTGCGCGTGCACACAGCGGCCCGTTCGGCATTTATCTTACAAACGATTCTCGGCGGGTTTTCAAACATGTTCCTAAGATAAAAGTTGTGCGAACGTACAGTAGAAACGGTCGCACGCCTTCCACACAACTTGCGATAATCGTACGATCGCGGGATTTCCCGCGATTATCGCAAGGTGTGTGGGCACCTTTACAATTAAATTTTTGGGAAGGTTATTTTCAGTTAAAATCTGTAGCTGTAAACATTTCGAAAGAAACATTGTCCACCCTATTCCTCCATATGTTAACTTTTTAGTAAACATTTTTAAATATTATCTTCTAATATAAATATTACAATTTTTTTCGTGAAGTGATATGTTTAAATATGTTTAAATTGAGTTTTTCGGAAATATCCGACAAATAACCGTTTTGAAGGCTCTTAATCATTTCCCAATACTTAGGTTTCTAATTCACTAACACCAATGGCTAATCCCTTCTCCTGTATTTCTATTATTAAGAAATCACTATTTACACACATTGAAGTGTGCCACAGATGCGCCTTGAGGGTCAACTTTTTGCTTTGGGGATTCTTTTGCAGACACTAATTGCTATAATTTGCTAGGTGTGTTTTTGAGTTGGCGGCCTTGACTTGTAAAGAGCCTTTTCTGGTTATCCACAGGGATAAGGCAGTGCTGAGGCCTACCTTATCCCTATCTAATCAGAGAATGCCTAGTATTCATTGATAAACATACTACAACTTCTGCTGCAGATAAAAGCCATGAGCCCTAAAACAAGTTCATGGCTGCTAAGTTGCAGTAATTAGGGCTGGTGTACAGCTCCCCAAGCAATTCTATTGTAGTTGTGTGCTTGTTTTAAAGGGAAATTAAACTGCTCTGCCAGTCCCATATTTGCATATTATGGTACACTTACTTCCCAAAGCCCCCCAAACCATTGTGATAGCTGTGATATTCCTCTTAGCTGCCGCTGACATTTTGAAACCAGTTTTATTTTGGGTCCAGCATCTTCTGCCATCTTAATTCGCCAGGATGGAATGATGCAACTCCCAGGCATGGCCACAGCGAGATAATTCATCTGGGCACCAGGCAAGTGCAGGGATTGTATACTGACATCTGCAGCTAAGCGTACAGTTATTTAAAACAAGTAAATAAATTGCCGGTAGGGGCAGGTAAGATGCTTTTACTGTTGTCGCCAAAACAGTAGTGTCTCCTTTAATAGATCTACTCTCTCCTCTTGTTCTGGTGTCACCTGTGAAGTTTTGGATTTCACCTAAGCGTTTGTCTCGCCAACAACAGTCACCAGGACAAAGCAGAAATACTTTGATAAATCACGACATATTGACAACAAATGGCATTCTTTGCCTTTTTTTTCCATTTTGAACTGCAGGCAAACTTCATGGTACTTCAATTTATGCTAATGAGATCTGTTTTCACCAAAGCAATGCAGTGCAGTGGGTCCTATATGTTACAATTTACTGCAGTTTGACCTGCAGTTTTCCATTAAACTAAAAATTGCAATACTTCATATCTGAATATGCAAAGCATGTTTCATTTTCACTGGAAACTGCATGTATTTACTATTACATCTGGTATCAATAAGCCCTTGTGCTTTCCTACATTACAAATAGGTAATATGTTTCCACATGACTGGCAAAAGGGAGTTGGGTGGAGTGATGCATTCCAGCAATACCTGCATCATAAACAGATTCCATGAGCAGGTTGTATTTTTTTCCCTGTATGCATTTTAAGGCTTCATTTAAAATTTTGATAGAGGTCTTCTATTAAAAAAAGCTTTTTTTATTACATTTTAGAGCACCTGGTAAGTTTGAAAGCTTAAGCTGGCCACACACCTGTAGTTTTTCTTGTTTAGCCACATGGATTCCCCCATCCAGGCCAACAGCATGGATGGGGGATTTCCCTCGCTAGTCTATTTTGGCAGCTTTACAGATTTGGGGTACCAAAGCCTGATGATGAAAGGCCCAAAAAGCACTGACTAGTAGAGTGCCAGGATTAGAAAAAGGGGAACATTATTCTTCAGTTCATAGGCCTGGTGATTTCACACAGCGATCGAAGAAGACGACAGTTGCCCCATGTGACCTTCAAGAATGACGAAGAGTCCGCTTTGCGATTGGATTCTGTAGCAGAGAGGCACTGCAGGAGGGGCGGTGATGTAACAGGCCAAAAAGTGAAACAGTACAATATATTCTGGGAGGGGAGTGTAAGATAAGAGTATGGTGGTAAGATGGCTGCACGCTACAATCTGACAATACAAACTTTGTAGTTTGTACTTATTTATTCTCTAGATTTACCAACAGTGTGAGGGCCTAACTAAACAATCCAATATAGCAGTTATAATAATCTGGTAGTTGTTGGTAAATCTAGAGGTAATTGCACAGTTGAATTGTAATGGGTATGGGTAGTTAAAAAATAAATCAAATGTAGACAATCAAACTGACTTTTATATAAATAAAATGTAGTCTATCACAATGTTTAAGCCCACCCTCCCCTACCTGCCTCAAGTATTGTGGACAACACGTGCTATGTTCAGTACCTGCTCACAGACATTTTATGCTTTCCGTGTCTCCCTCGTCTGCTTAACAAAGATACCACACATCTCTTTAAAGTGTATGTAAGGCCCAGCAGGCTATTTTTCTGCCCGTATGCAGCTGGAGAGTTTTCCCTTAACTTCCTATCCTGGAAATGCAACAGGAAATTAGGAGAGTTGTCACTAGAACAGGTGTCCCATTGGAGGATTTTGCCTCCCCTCTTGCTTTAGTGACAAATGTTGGGGTTTTGTCTCACTTTCTGTCTCAGACAATGGGCATGAAGACAAATAGGATGAATCTTCCCAGTAAAGACAGAATGCTGATTACTGAGAACAGTGGGTCTAACTATGCTTATTGGTTTGTACAGTCACATTTGGACACTGTGCAACTGTGGAGGTTAGATTATGAACATGCAGGTTATTGGTACAAAGACTGAGTGACTGTGTAGTACTATCTGTTTTTGTGGCTTCAGTTGGGCTTTAACAGCTCAGATTATTAAAACTTCATTTGGCATGCATAATAAGCTGCCAACACTTGTTACAATTTATCTTCGTTGGCACGAAGATCAAAACTTCTTCCAACCAAATTTAGGGAATTAAGGTTAAATGTAGAGATTGTAATGTGTGTTCAGCTTTAAGCTGGCTACATGCGTTGAATTATAATTGTTCAATTTCCTGTGTAATAGGAAGACCTGCCTAAACAATGTAGTCAATTTATATCCAATCCAGTAAACTGCTACACTGCATAATTGTTTGTAAATGCTTCATACAACGTCATTTAAATCTAATCTAAATTTAGTAGATTGGATAATCAGATTATCAAGTGTGCCACTGGTTATTATTGATCAGCTATAAATTTCAGACTTAGAAAATTCTAGTATGAATCCAAATCAATGTAATTTAGTGTCACCATTCCAAATTACCTATTCAATGATTTGGCACATACTTCGAGTAAATATAATGGAGCATGCTATATTATAGAAATTATACAGTGTACACAAGCCTTGTTATTTTGGCACTGTGTACATTTTAGCTGAAACATTCCGTATTTGAATGCAGAACAGAGCAGCATTCCTTTGTGATGAAACTTGTACTGTGTGTGAGGCACGTGTGTAGCTTGCAGCAGCGCATCTCCAAGCACACCTAGATCATATAAGCCAAGACTACTTTTTTTTAAAAATTATGCCTGTATTTTAAGCTCTACTAATGTATATACAGTCATGTAAAGAAGTAACTACACCTTATGGAAATTGTTGACTTTTTAAAGAAATTTGAGCAGACAGACATTAAACCTTCATTCAACAGGTGGTTACAGATAGAATTGATATTCCGTGCCAATGATTAGAAATAGAGCACTGAAATGAAAATTTCAAAACCGAAATGAAAAAAATGTCAGGTCGAAATCGAATATGGTTTTTTTTTTTGTTTGTTTTGTTTTTCTAACCTTTTTAAAATTCTTAATTTTTTGTTAATAAACTTTAACATTTAAAAAAAATATATTTTTATTAAATATATATATATTTTTTTTAACTTTACTGTCTGGTGCTCTGGGGAAATATTGGGGGTCTAAACAGACCCCTGATATTTCCCTTTTCCCTATTTAAAATAGAAAAAGAGATTGAGAACACAGCATCCTCAATCTCTTTTTCTGCAACCCCTGTAAGCCCTCGTTCACACCTGAACGTTTTGTAGCGCGTTCTACGCTCGACGAACGCTATACAAAACGGTCAAAAATATAAATCCCATTGTATTCAAGGGTCTCGTTCCCACCTTGGCGTATTTCCGCCCGTCCCTAATGCGCTACAAAACGGCCCACGCCTGAAAAGGTACAGGTACTACTTTGGGCCGTTTTGTTGCGCGTTTCCATTGGGCTACAGCCAAGTAGCCTTCAGAAACGCGCGACGGTCGCGCAGCTTTTTTACCACGAATCGCGGTAAAAAAACGTGCGACGGTCGCGCATATGCAATACGCCTAGGTGTGAACGAGACCTTATAAATGAACACGAATTCTCTATACTGATTGTTCCTGTTCATTCATAACTTGTGGAGCTAATATGTTTACTATAGCCACAATCATGAATGAACAGGAGGTGATGTAGATCACTTCCCGTTCATTCATAATTGGGGACACCGTAAACATACTAATGTCCTCAATTATTTACAAACACTCCGCAATCACTGATCGCTAAATGCTTGTACTCGCTCTCCTCTCTGACAGCTGTCACAAGAGGCTGAGCGAGCGGTGCGGGGAGGAGAGCTCTATCTCCTCTAATCTGTCACAGACGGCGCAAGGATAGATGTTGGCCGCTCACATCGCTCTCCTCCCCCACACCGCTTGGCCTCCT